TGTATGGAAGCCCCATAGGTTGAGATAGCGTGTTGAAAACAAAAAAAAAGATACTGAACCAACCTAGTCTGTCACCCCGTTGGAGAATAGGGAAAGTTGTGAATATGATCAGGAAGAAAGGCAGCGTCCAAAGTGTTCTACGTGAAGAACCCTTGTCAGTATTTCAGAGCCTTTGTACTATAAGTTGAAGGTAAGTGTTCGAAGAGCACGAAGGGAGATCCCCGTCAGAGTAGAACAGTTCATCGCCACTCACCCCATGAGGTGCTTTCTAAAGCGCCGCTTTGTTTGTTTATTGCGTTCCTTAAACATCATGCATTGTATTGCATTGTACCTATCAAGTTTCTTTCTCATTCATGCACGATATTGTACGTACGGTTCATTTGAAGCTGGCGCAACCAGGCAATATTGGATGTGTGGTTCATTCAGAGAAGTTCCGCTTAAGATTGATTATGTTTTGTGCATCTATCGCACATGTTCTCTTTTGTGTATCTATCACACATGTCCACTTTGTGCATCTATCGCTCATGTTTACTTTGTGTATATATCGCATTTAATCTTGTGTGCCTTGGGCATTGTTGTTCTTTCTCCCCGCGCGTGCGACGGGTTAGACCTCCTTTGGTTAAGAGCATTTGGAACGTGTTCCGATGCTTACACCACTTCGAAACACTGGGACGTGTCCCTATGTTTCCCCCTCTTTGGTTAAGAGCATTCGAAACGTGTTCCGATGCTTATACCACTCCGAAACACTGGGACCTGTCCCTATGTTTCTCCCTCTTTGGTTAAGAGCATTTGGAACGTGTTTCAATGCTTATACCATTCCTTTGGTTGGAAATGCTAGGACGTGTCCCTAAGTTTCCCCCTCTTTGGTTAAGAGCATTTTGAACGTGTTCCAATGCTTATACCACTCCTTTGGTTGGAAACGCTGGGACGTGTCCCTATGTTTCCCCTCTTTGGTTAAAAGCATTCGGAACGTGTTCCGATGCTTATAACACTCTGAAACACTGGGACGTGTCCCTATGTTTCTCCTTCTTTGGTTAAGAGCATTTGGAACGTGTTCCAATACTTATACCACTCCTTTCGTTGGAAACGCTGGGACGTGTCCCTATGTTTCTCCCTCTTTGGTTAAGAGCATTTGGAACGTGTTCCAATGCTTATACCACTCCTTTGGTTGGAAACGTTGGGACGTGTCCCTATGTTTCCCCCTCTTTGGTTAAGAGCATTTGGAACGTGTTCCAATGCTTATACCACTCTTTTTCCTTTCGTGTGCAACGCGTTGGAATCTTGTTTGAGACCTTGGGTGTCCCCAGCGGTTGCTCTTAGTCTTTCCTACGTGGTGCATGGTTAACATTGCATAATTTTCTTACATCCTTTCTGCATGAAATGTAGTTTGGTTTGTGTTTACTTGCTTGTATGCGAGTTTGCTGTAGCATTTCTTTGCATAACATTTGCATCTAGATGCTTCGTTACCACCCTCTTTGCATAATCATAAGTTGTGCTCTTGCATATTGCATGCCACTTTGCAGCATGCCCCAGAACTACGCTAGTTTGATTCCTTGCAAAAAGATACGTAGGCAGCCTGTGGGCGCAACCATTTGTTTCTGCATCTTCAATTTATTTGCTTGTCCAAGTCTTCGGCCTTGTCAAAAATAGGTCGTCTTTGGGCCTTGACATTCACTCATTCCATTTCATGACTTTCGAGCTCTATCAAAGAGAGGCAACTGTAGACATCCCAATTTTGACCGCCCTTAAGACTTGGGTGCCACTAATTGTTTACTTGGCGATGAGGTGTGCAGTGCAAAGGTTCAATTTCTTCGGCAAGAGGAGAGTCAAATCTCAACTTCATACCCCTTTTGGACTAAAACGATCTTGATCAAAAGATTTTAGACCTTGAAACCCTCTCTTTCAAAATAGTTTTTGAAAAATGATTCTACGAAGTTCCGACGCTCGCATTTTGTTAAATGCTGCACTTTTCAGTAAACTAAGCAAGGGCAAAGTGGAAATGAATGAAAAAGAGATGAAATCTTTGAAAAATCTTTCAAAACACCTTGTTTAGGGGTTTGGAGTTGAAGAAAAGAAGAGTGGATGGGAGAAACCTAGTTGAGAAAGAAGTTGGGTATGAATCATTAAGAGAGAGACGAGTAGCCCTAGCTAAATCATGCCTATCCTTTTGTATGTTTGGATTTAAGGCATGAGGCCACCACCGTTGGAAAGAAGACTTCTGAGGCTTCATTTTACACTCAAGAATCTCCTAAAGCCGAGTCCGGATGGGGGAGATATGGTTGGTTGAAGTTAGACATCAATCCGATTGAGCCGGAAATGAGCAGTCTTCACTAAAAGAGGGATATCTCTTAGTACACTTGGAATTTTGAGGTGAGGCTACAACCATTGGAAATCTTACTCCGGGGCTTCATTTTAGACACAAGAATGACCTGCAAAGGAGTCTAGATGAAGGAATTATGCCCATTTGAAGTCGGACCTGCAGAGCAGAATTTGCAGTCGGCCACTGGAAGTGGCCGATTGGCCAAGAAAGTAGCAGGTCGGCCAAAAAGATGGCCAGTCGGCCAGAAATGACCCAAACTCAGATTTTTTTTGAAGATCTTTTCCCTCCAGCTGTTCCACACAAGCTCCGTTGTCCCAATTCAGATATTTCGACCCAAGCTCTTGTTTTTGATATATATTGAACCCAAATATCTCATATTCAAGGGTTAGAACATATTGAAAGGTGAAGAAAATTTGGGAGCTTCTCGCTCTAGAATCCTCTCTCTCTAGAAGATTTGTGAGCAAGTTCTCCCCTCTCTCTAGAATTCTCTCTTTCTCCTCTTGTTTTAGGCTTAGAAGTGAGAATTTCCTACACTTTTGCAAAGAGGCCCTTAACCAAAGTTGATCATCTTTGGGCTGAGGTAGCTTGGGACTTTGTTTGAGCTCCAAAAGGCTGATTTTGGCTCAGATTTTGGCTGGTTTTGCTGCTGTGCTTCAAGGTGCTTCAAGGGTAAGCTTTTCCCCCTTTCAAGCTTGTTTTTGCACATTTGCTTTACCCTCCTTTTTCCATTGTTTTGGACTATTTTGGGACTGGTTTTGAACTATAAAAAACTCTTATTTTGAGGTTCTAGAATGATGGTTTAAGGCTTGTTTGGTTAGGGGGTGTTTCCTCCCTTTTGCTCCTTGGCTTGTAAGGCCTTTTGAGCTATCTTTCAAGTTTTTCATACAACTTCCTTTCGGCCTTAAACCACTGAATTCCAGAGGAATTTCAGTGGTAGAAAACTTGTTTTGAGGTCCCAAATAGGAGGGAGTGGCCTCCCCTCCTTGTCTCTCCATGCTATGTCTTGTTAACACTATAAAGTAGCATGTTTTTGTGACTTGTCTTAGTTTAGTTTGAGCATGTTTTTGGCTATAT